CCACAATTTTTAGACCGCTACTACAAAAAATAAATTTTTTATGTCAGAAAAAGTCTTTTTTTTGAAAAACGAGCGTTTCATAAGTATAGGTTCACCCCCGGAAAATTTAACATTAACAAAGTTTTATTCAATTCAATACTTTGTGGGCTTTCCACCAGTGGAAATAATAGAAAACAAGCGGTTTGGCATGGAATTTAACAACTTCTGGAGGTAAGGCTTCTTCAGGTTCTTCCATGCGTCCACGAGGGCAGTTTGGAGCTCAGAAACGGTCTGGTATTGCTTTCCCTGACCATATACGACGCGCACGAGTTCAGCCCAAACATTCTCCATGCTGAAAACTATATTCTGGTAACGAATTAAGAAAAAACAGTACCTCTTTCTATACAAGCTAGATAAATGATGGATGTTGCAAATGGAGATAAACATGAACTGATAAAGATGATCTAAAAATATACAAAACATTTGCTGAAGAAAGGGTTATAGAAACTTACATTTATACTGAGTCGACCCGAAGAAAGAATAATAAAGCGTCCGTTTGCTAGATGGACATGGAAGGCAACTGACGAGAGCAATGCTGAGCTGGTTGGGATTAACTGAGTGTCTGGGCACTTCATAGTTACTCTGATATCTCGCTCTTAATAAACTACTCTTTTTCTCATTTACTAGTATCTTACGTTCTCGGGTTTCTCTATCCAGAGAAGAGCGGGGCTTCAGCTGCTCAAAACGGATTGAGTTTCTGGTTCTCCATGGTTACTCTTATCTTTCGTGGAAACTCTTTTTCTTATTTTCTATCAATTTTTCTGCTCTGACATCTCTACTTTGACGCTTTCCTGCGCGCTGCCACTCGCTGAGTTGAGGGGAAGGAGCTCCTCAATGAGCAATAGCATGATATGCAAGCTTCTTAGAAGATTGCATATATTGAAGTAGGAAATATTACCAAATGAAAAGTGAGACAACCGAAAGACAACCGTAAAAAAGTAAAACTTACACGAAAAAATGTGTGAATATGGTTATGGTCGGTTGGAGAATCGTTTTATTAATATGGTGTGCGAAAGACCAAAGAGGAAGATTTCCAAGGAATTGAGAAAAGTGAGAAAGCAATGGAACGGAAGCCGTGTCGTGCTGAGTTGAGGAAAGCCCAAAAAAATCAAGGTGATGGATTGGCCGGCTTGTTCGCCGGATTTGAACCCAATGGAGAATGTTTGGGCTGAACTCGTGCGCGTCGTTTATGGTCAGGGAAAGCAATACCAGACCGTTTCTGAGCTCCAAACTGCCCTCGTGGACGCATGGAAGAACCTGAAGAAGCCTTACCTCCAGAAGTTGTTAAATTCCATGCCAAACCGCTTGTTTTCTATTATTTCCACTGGTGGAAAGCCCACAAAGTATTGAATTGAATAAAACTTTGTTAATGTTAAATTTTCCGGGGGTGAACCTATACTTATGAAACGCTCGTTTTTCAAAAAAAAGACTTTTTCTGACATAAAAAATTTATTTTTTGTAGTAGCGGTCTAAAAATTGTGGGCGATATGTATTTTTACATGGACTTTAATATTATAACAACCTCAAACCTCCAAGATTTCCCACCTTGTCTACCAAGGGTGAACCTATACTTATGAAACGCACTGTATAATTTTGTCAAGTTGCTTCTGTCGACTGAAAATTGGCTAAAAATGGTACTTTTTCGACGGCTCTCTCTAATTTTGGCGCTCAAGCCAGAGACAAGAAATTATATTAATAGAGAACAATGAACAGATTTTGAGTTGAAAAATCCGTCAGAAGTATTTGGCGTGTTGGCACATAAATTTTAAGAATTGCATGCATTAAACTTTATTCATATCAAAAACATTTCAACGTCATTTCAATGGAAAACCCAAATCGGAATCCTCGTTGTTGAACTTGGCAAAATGTTGATGAGCAAAGGTGTTGATGAGCTTTCTCGATGTCACATATTTTCCACATGTGGAATCTCTCCCGAAGTTCCATATTGGGGGTTAGTTGACTTTTTTGTGGAGATACGTTCTATGTTTTTGTCTAGAATCCGGAAAAATTAAAACATTTCATTCAGGGTTGTCGGTCATTCCGTTTGATCAACAATGTAATACCATTCTAAACAATGCAATCTTATAATCTGTTTGAGTGGTTTGCCTTTTGTTTGAAAAAAAGAAAAATTATTGAAATACCTGAAGACAGAACGAATACACTGAAAGAAGGAATGATCAAAAGAAATAAGGGGAAGAGATAATCAGAAAAATAGGGCTTATTAACAAAGAAGACTGCCAAGCCAGACGGCTGTCAAATTTCCTGAGTAGACCAGAATACTTGAAATTTGCGAAAACGATGATGATGAGTACACGAGAAAAAAACGTTGATTACTGTGTAATGCTGAAAAATTATATTCTGATAGCGGATTGAGAAAAAAGTGCTCACTTTTTTCTACACTCCATAGTTATTATAATATTCCCACTTTTCATGAACTACTATTTTTCTCATTTTCTATTACTTAATGTTCTCGAGTTTCTTTGTCCCGAACCTTCTTCCTTCTTTCGTAAGAACCTCATATGATGGACTTGAATGGCGGCTGAGAAAAGCGAGGATTCAGCTGGATGAGACAAATTAAGTATCTGGGTTTACCATAGTTATTCTCATCTCGAGGCTTAAACTGGAACTAATAATTTAACAAAACATCGTAGGCAAAAAAATAAATGAACAATTTATTTTCAATGAATTGTTTTTGGTGAATACGTTCGAACGTTTTGGAACAAGAAAGAAAAACTATAAAAATGACAGATAGGGTCCATTGGAAGACTATTGAAACAAAAGGAAGAAGTTTTAAAAGCCATATAGAGAGAAAAGGTACTAAAATAAAGTACAATGAAGTGGACAGAGAAATCTATTGTGGAAAAGGAAATTTGTTTTAATACATTGAAAAATAAGGTCCCAAAATCAGGTACCAGTCAAGTTGTCATAAGAGAACTATCACAAAAAAGAAAAACTTTGAACTAAGAACTATTGAAGAAAGCAAAGAACTACAAAACAAAAATCACATAGCAGTCATGGAAAAAAAAGAAATTTTAAAGAGAAAGGAATTTCAGAAAAATCAAGAAATAGACCTCCATGCACAAGGTTGTCCTATGAAAATTACATTTAAACTAATAGTAAGAAGGAGATATCATAAAAATCAGAAAGGTAGACTTCCATGCAGAAGGTTGTCAAAGGAGAACTACAATTAAACTAAAAAGAGAAATTCAAAAAAATCAGAAACTAGATCGCCATTCAGTAGGCAGTCATGGGAAAACAATTAAACAAATAAATTACAAAAAAATCAAAAACAGGTAATTCGCGAACAATCTGTTACAGATGCTCTACCGTTCCTGGGCGGCAAATCTGAGATTGAACAGTTGAACGTCTGTAACGGATTGTTTGCGAATTACCTGTGAAGGGGAGACCTCCAATCGGGTGGTCATGAAAAAAAATGATAGAAATGAGGAGCTTATGAACATGAAATGGTTATAGAATATGAAATGATTATTGATGGAAAAAATAAATGGAAAATAAAGGTATCAAGATGCAGATATCGATGTAGTTGTACCCGCGGATGTTGATAGCGCAAAATGGGTGGAGATGACAAGGATAGATATAATGTGTATATGAAGAGCATACATAGTTGTGAATGATAGATGAGATGATCTGGAAAATTAGTCTTTCTCTCAGGAGCAGGGAAGGCTAAAATTAATAATTTACGCTGTTGAACTCCAATGATAAAAAGCGTGTCAGCAGGAAAGTTATTTTTGCGCGGCGAAGATAGATCAATTTTTTCAAAATTTTTTCGGAATTTAGGAATTTTCATCGAAAAATTGATCGGACGCCAACATTGCTCTTATTCAAGATTAATATGTACAATCTGAAAATTGGTAAATCAGGTTTAAGTGTGTGTCTGGCTAAACTTACATATACATTGAGTCGATCCGGAGAAGAAAAAAACGTCTCGTCGGTTGGGTGGAAGAGAGGAACGACTGAGGAAGGAAAGCGACACGAGGGACATGAGGGACTGTCAAGCGTCTGCTTCTCTGATTCTCCTCATTTCTGTCAGTCTCTTCCTGTGTTCGCTACCACCAAAATGTAACATGACACCGACTATCACCAATGCGTCTCTCTGCTGTTGCTACTGCGCCGCTACGCCGACACGCGACGCGTCCGAAATTGGCTCGGTGCCAACTTTCGATCCGAGCTTGCTGCTTTTTCAAATCGAGGAATGCTGTAGAAATAAGATAATATGAGAAAGCCAATGATCGGAAGAACTACGTTTTTAGAAAACATCCCATTCAATTTCTTTGTTCATCTGGATTATTGAAAACATTTATTCATAATCAAAATTTAACAAACATGCTGAACTCGGCGTGAAGATTACGTTTTATTTTCCTATTTGTTTCCAACTAAACTACCTAAGTGGACATGGAAGGCGACTGACGAGAGCGACGCTGAGCTGGTTGGGATTTTTTACCGGAACTCCATAGCTACTCTTATCTCCCGTTTTTAATGAACTATTCTTTTTCACATTTTCTATCATCTACTGCTCTTATGTTTTTCTGTAGCGGACCTCTTTCCCTTTTTCGTGAGGAGCTCATTTGCTGGAGATGGATGGCGAGGGCAAGTGCGGGGCTTCGGCTGCTTGGGACGGATTGGGTACCTGGGTGCTCCATAGTCACTCTCATCTCTCGTGTATGAATGGAAACACTTCTCCTTATTTTCTAACTCGTAATGTTCACTGATTTCTCTGCGGAGCCGGACCGGGGATTTATCGATAATCGAGGAATTCAACAAGGCATCAACAGCGACTGATGGCAAAAGTGGTGGTTCGATTCTTTGACCTGACATCTGCATACCGGCTTTTTTAGCAGCCACTAGCCGAGGTGATGGAGCTCCTCAACGAGCAGTAGCATGATATGATAGCTTCTTAGTCGAATGAATAAACTAGAGCAAGAAAGATCATCAGATAACACTTCCATATTCAAATCTCTGAAAAAAGTTGAGAATTATATTCATTTTTCTTGCCTTAAATTGGTTTTTTCGAACGAAATATGTTGAGATACAAAACAACAACTAATCTGTTTTTGGGATTCCAGTGTTTATGTAAAAACAATTATAAAACAAAACATTCTCAGCGAAAAAGTGAACAAAAACAATTAATTTTCGAAGAAGTTGCTTTTCGTGAATACATTTGAACGTATTAGGCCGAGGAAGAAAAACAATACATATGACAGATAGGGTCCATTAGAAGGTTATACAAACGAAAGGAAGAACTTCTAGAAAACATACAGAGAGAAAAAGTCCCAAAAATCAGTTGAAAAACGCCGTTCTAGCCAATCGGTAAAAATCAAGTACCTATTGGCTCTTGAAATTGAGTGTTCGGAAACTGCATGTTTCCGGGGAGGCGGCCAGTTCTAGAAAACAAACAGAGAGAAATGGCCCTGAACCTAGGCAACAATGCAGGGGACAGAGAAATTCTACAAAAAGGGAAAAGTTTAAAAAAAACACATCAACTCAAGGCATGGTGAGTAATTCGTACGAGAACTATTACAAAAAATGTGAGAAACTACAAAAAAAATTATAAAGTCAGATAGCAAAATCTAAGACTTGAGAGAACAGTAACAAAAAAAGGAACTCTAAAAAAATCAAAGGGTAGACCTCAAAAATCAGATAGAAGTCATTGCAAAAAAACAATGAAAAAATTCAGAAAAATCAATGGGTAGATCGCCATTCAGAAAACAGTCAAAGAGAAACATTAACAAAGAAAGAAGTTTTAGGAAAATAAAACACAGGTAATTTGCGAGCAATCTGTTACGGACGCTAGCGCACGGTTGAAGTAGGAAACGTATTGTTTTCTACACAAATTTAACGTAATTCCTTATTCTGTCAGATTACAAATGATGAAAAAACAAATTCTTCAAACTTCTGAGTTTGCAAATCTGAGGTCGAACGATCGAGCACCCGTAACAAATTGTTCGCGAATTACCTATGAAGGAGAGACCTCCAATCGGGTGGTCATCAAGAAAATGATAAAAATGAGGAGAGTATGAACATGAAACGGTTATAAAATATGAAATGATTATTGATGGAAAAAGAAATGGCGAATCAAAGTACTCAGATGAAGATGGAGCACGAAAGCTGGATGTTGAGATCATAGCGGAAATTTGGTGGAGATGACGGGAGTAGACATGACGTGGATAGGAAGCTTTGGTGTAGATGATAAATTGGAAGATCTGAAAAATCAGTATTTCTTATATTTTTCTCATGAGCACATAGGATTAAAACTAATATGGCACGCTGTTGCACTTTAATGATAAAGAAAATTATCTTCGCGCGGCGTGATGGATCAAATTTCTCTCTCTCTCTCTCTCTCTCTCTCTCTCTCTCTTTAATTCTTTATTTCTTTATTTCTCTCACTCACTTAAATGCGCAGAGATTGTACTATCTCACTCTCAATTCATTTTTTTCTATGGGCCTAAAACTTTGCCACGCTTTTTCAGTTTTTTAGTGCAAGAGCCTCAAATAGCAGATGGAGTAGTAAAATAATAACTCACTTAGGTCTTGGAAGATCTGAAATCCAGGATTTCCCTCAAAAAGTTGATCAGACGTCTACAACGCTCCTATTGAAGATTAATATGTACAATCTGAAAATTGATGAATCAGGTTTTGATGGATTACTAGCAAAACTCACATTTACATTGAGTCGATCCGGAGAAGAAGAAAAAACGTCTCATCGGTTGGGTGGAAGAGAGGAACGACTGAAGACGAAGGGCGACACGGGGGACACATGAGACGGTCAACTCTGCTTCTCTGCTTCTTCTTATTTTTGTCAGTGTTTTCCTGTGTTCGATACGCCCAACTTGTGACCTTGCACTGACCATCACCTCGGACGACCGCCACGCCGACACGCGAAGCGTCAGAAATCGGCGCGAAATTCAAATCGAGGTTTCGTCTAGAAATGAAAACCGAAGATGTTCGTCAAACACCATCATGCTGAAAAATTATGATCGGTTGAAGAATAAACAAAAAACTAGTTGTTCACCTCTTTTTGTAAAACTAGAGTGAATATTCAAGATGAAAAGAAATATTAATTGATAAAGATGATATGAAGGTTTTCAGGAAATTTGATTGTCAAAATTCCAGTTTAAACTGTTTGGAGCGGGTCCAAAGAAAGTACTGCCTGTTTATTTCTCCAAACTCATTACCGTTTTCTTCAACTGCTTCAATTGTACACCCAAAGTGGGTCGTTTCTTCGAAGTGATCACAAGAAATCGGAAATTCTCTTTAATCTCTTCTGTTTTTCTTTTATCCAGCTCTGAAAAGGGTCTTTAAAATTGTCCTCGCTGTATAAGGAGAGAAAAAGGAATTGATGAAAAGGACCGGAGCATGCTTGGCATAGACGTTTTGAGTGTGCTCTATAGTTACTCCAGTTTCACACTCTTATAATACACTCTTTCTTACTTCCTCTTGTTTCTCTGTACTCGGGTTTTTGTCACAAGCTCACGTGTAGTCATGTAAGGACAAATGAGGGGAGAGGATTATTAGCTTTCCGGAAAATGTGGGAAAATTGAGAAGAAAATCGAGGGCATTGGTGAAAACGAAAGAACGGCAAATTTAGTCGAGGGCTCTGGATTGTGCAAAAGCCACTTCTTTTTTTTGTATCGAACTTGAATAAGTCTTCAAGTCGTTTTTGGATGTCCAAACAATGAAATATCGAAGATTTTGCAAACCAATTTATTTACAAAAATATATATTCATAATCGATACTTATTCAATATGCTAAATTGGACGTCTAGATGTCGTTCTATTTTCCTAATTTTTTTCCAACTAGAGAGAAGTCTTCTTTGTAGATATCCCAACTAATACAATAATTTTACATAATTAAATATATTTACAGTAGCCTATAGTCTTTTGGATACAAAGAAGTCGTTAGAGAAGATGGTGGTGCTAAAAATTTGAAAATCATTTGAAATTATTGTTTCGGTATAAAATAACTGATGTTCAAAAGCTCAACAAAAATCTTGAAAAGAGGAGGTGGGGGGAAGGAGAAAAAATAAAAAAATGAGATAATCAGAAAAATAAAACCCATTGACAAGGAAGATTGCCAAGCCAGACGGCTATCAAAATTGTCTGAGTTGAACCGTAGATTTGAAAACTTTGGCAAACAATGAGTTGAGAAAGTTGATTATTTTGTTGTGCTGATGAGCAGTTGAAATGACCCGTATAATGTCTTTGAAATGATATGAATCATAGGTCTCCTGAAAAATCATATTGAAACAAATCATTATCAGGTAATATTCCTTACCGTTACTTCACTGCGTGGCGACTGATAAATTTGGTACGATGGGCACGAAACTAACATGCGGAGGGACACCTTCAGCTCTACCCCTTGAATTCTTGAGGCACTCCATAGTTACCTTTATCTTTACTTTTTCTGCTTTACACTCTTCTTCTATTCCGTTCTCTCATTTTCTTGTATCTATCTTCCAAATTCCACATTCTCTGATTCTCCTTTGTTGTCTCTATGGTCACCTCTTTTCACTAGCCGACAGGTGAATTCAACGGGAAGGGAGGGGAGGGACATTTTGGCTCAGGATTTCTCATATTCTCCGTTAGGAACCTAATGCTAATATGACTCATAAGCAGTACGAACCTTCCACCTACTCAATGTCAAATGAATCGAGAAAGGGATTTCACCGAGTGGAAAGAGCATTCGCAATTACTTTCCCGTACATTTATAGAGACAAATTAATAGATTTTGAAATTGAAGGTTCCGTTTTACCATGTGTCGGAATACAAATCAACAGTCACAGGGAAAACCTTTTAAAAACTGTTTTGAATCAAGTGTTCGGGCATTTTTAGTGCATTTTAAGTATCCTCAGAAGTTTTTTGTCAAGTTTGAACATTATTAGAAAAATTGCATGCATTAAACTTTATTCATTTCAAAAACATTTCAACATCATTTCAATGGAAAACCCAAATCGGAATCCTCGTTGTTGAACTTGGCAAAACCCGCGGTGTTGATGAGCTTTCTCGATGCCATATATTTTCCAGCATTGGTGATGTTGATGTTATAGGACATGACGTACTCCTCTCTGAAAAAAGTCATTGATTGGATCCAATTCTCAAAATAGTAATATTTCAAATCACACTGTAAAGAATCCCCCTACCCATATCCGTAATCAGAAAAAAACTTACCCATGCTTAATCAGGAAGTAGCCCAAAAAGTAGTTGTACTTTTGCTTTAAATTGACGTAGGAATTGCAAGAGTGCACGATCTCTACGTATAGGTCGAAGTAGTACTGAAAATTTTAGTTCATATTTTCAGTAACATTAGTTGCCAGTCACAGCGGTTGCTCTATTTTCATGCCGATTTGTAGATTTGTTCAAAATCTATACTGAAGAACTAAATTCATTACATCAAAATTTAAAACTAACATTCCCCAGTCCATCGTGCGTGTCCTCTCCCTCGATATGGAAACCACCTGACCCACGACCGATGCCTGAACTGACAAGTCCGATTTGATTGTCTCTGAAAGTTATTAAATCAGTTTCAGAAAATTATGGGAATTTTTGACTCACTGTAACACGTCCCATTCATAAAGAGTGACGTGGTAGTCATAGTTTTTGTTGTAGTCGCAAGTCACCGTACCACCAATGCGGAACTTTGTAAGAGTTTCCACTTGGATAAGACAAGAAGTCCAGAAGAGGAAGAAGACGAAGAACTTTCCCATTTTTGGAAATGGTATGGGGAGAGGAGGCCAGATAGGGCCTTTTTATAGTTGAATCTGATTATTTCGTGAACATCGATGGGAAAATGATCGTAAAAAATGATCAAAAATGATATTTTTCCTCTTTTTCACAGCAAAAAAACTGAATTCGAAAAAAATTACGATCATTTCCCATCGGTGTTCACAAAATAATAAGATTATCATTCACCCTATACAAAGCCATCTTTCCCTGCCTCTCCTACTAAAAAATGGGACGATTCTTATTTCCTCTGATTCTAGCTCTGACTTCTACCGTAATCCATGTGGAATCTCTGACAAAATTCCATATTGGAGGACAACTGACTTGTGCTCTTGACAAGAAATTCATTTATGGGATCACTTTGTTCGAATAGGATACGTTATTATAAGTGGATAGTCTCAGAATTATCTGGATTAAAAAAATAATCATTTTCAGTGATGATAACATTTCACCCTTAACAACCGGGCACGGACATTAAATGGGAAACTTTCACGTCGAGGGACAAGACAATTGGGATCGACTATGGGATGTTAGTTTTCAAGATTTTCCGATTGAATTGAGTTGCATAGGAACTTTAGAACTTAAAGAAAGATAAAAGAGTTTTTTCGGAGTTTTTTTTTTGAAATTGCGGTATGAGTTCTGACGTGACGGTGTACAGTGATTGGTGTTCACACAGCGGGTAGTTAGCGTGCCTCTATTCTGTGTCCTATCGCTCGACCTTCTCAGTTCGCGTCATCGTGGCTCAGCTGGTAGCGGGGCGACACCTTTTTCCGCACTTCGAGGGGAATGGATTTGTCCCTTTCTTTAAGTTCTTGAAATGTCCCAAATTTCGACCATATAATTTGTCTAGAGTAATTTGATTGAAATTGTTCAGAACGCTTTTGAATTGTACATGGGAATTACTCACAACTGTAATGAGGGAGGTGTTCTTCCATACCGTACTTACCGGTTTCACATGGGCGATTTCTTGATAAATGATGAGTGAGTTCTGCGGGAAATGGTTGATCGAGAATTTGAAGATTGAAAGTAGCCGGGCAGATTTCAAAGTCTGACTTGCCTTAAGTGATCCGGCTCAGTTTGGTTATCTATTGAATTTCAGCCTTTAATCAAGTAAACATTGTAACTTCTATCAAATTCAAGAGTTTCAGCAATTTTTAAGATATTTGGTAGAACTGAAATAGAGCTATGGAATAATGCTTCGTTTGAGTTATTTTTCATGGATTTGTGGTGTCGTTAGTCATTTTTAAAACTATGAAGATTAGATTGTACACAAACTTTCAATATTTCGAAAATCCTCAAATCGTTTTATGGTTCAAGCTCTACATTTTAAACGAAGTCTTTCCAACAGTATTCATATTTTCAGAGAGTACACGAGGGACTATAGAATCAACATCACAAATGCAGGATTTGAAGATAAGCTGGTTATGGAAATATTTCACATGGATGATGGATTTCGACGATTTCCAGGAAGCTATGTGACTGTTCGGATAGCTATGAAATGAAAATTTTCTGATAATAAACAAAGTTTCATGCATTCAATATTATCTATTTTAGGCTCCCGTCTTAGAAAATATGACGCTTCGGGTAACAGTTTTTCGCAATTTTTGTTATCACATATTTGAAGTGGTGGCATATAATCGGTGCCTCAAAGAATTCTTGGTGATATAGCGCATTTCCGGTGCCGGGACTGCGATTCGTTGTGTAGGCTCATTTTCTGAGACTTGGCGCATTTTAGGTGCTTTGTAATGAAAATAGTGTGTTGTTTCATAATTTGACAAATAGATTATGATTATTGTGTCACGTTCTGCTTGCAACAAAATATATCATTATTAAATTGTATTTCTTTTTAGGAAAGTATACAATTGATATGAGTGAAAGACACGTTGATGGGAAATTACTAGGATATGGAATTTGATTATCATAACAGAAATACCGAGCTAGAATATGAGCAAAATACAAGATGGGAAGATGAGAAACACAGGGTGGGAAACACGTGAGAGAATTGTTTGATATGGAGAGACTTCGGCATTTTTCATGGCAATTAGAAAACATATCTAAAATTATAAGTCTTTGAGACAAAAAGTATATATAAATATTACAGAAATGAATATCAGAGTGACGATATTTACACAAATAGGAGCATTGATTATGAGGAGTTTAGAACATATTAATCAATAATTAACTGATTACGAACGATACGGTAAGTGATCGGGCTTGTTGGGTCGAATCCAGGGTTGAATTTGTAGAAAATATCGAAGAGATCAGTGTGTGAGTAGCCGGTGGTCCTTTGAAGACTAACTTCGGAATACAGTCCTGCGATCCATTCCAGCTCATCGTTGAATATTTCGAAAGGATCTTGATCCTAAAAATACCAGTAATCATTGAAAGAACACATTCGAGTTCACAAACAAATTCTGCTTTCAATGTTTGGTACTCTCTTCGTTCCGCTCCAAATGGGTTGAGTGGAACGAATCGCATCACGAGGAAAATGGCCGAAGTAAGATCGTCGAATCTGGTGTAGGATTGGTTTCGGCAGACTTGTAGACTGGCATGCCAAGAAGTTAGATTTTGTTCTGGAGAAGGCGATGGTTCTAGCGGAAGTGACAATCCGAAATCGATAATCTTGAGATGGAGAATCTGAAAGAAGAACTTATTCATGACACAACCAAAAATAGAAATGGCAACTCACTCCATCACGCTCTCTTCGGAGAAGTACGTTCTCCCAATGAATGTCTCTGTGGCAGAACCCTTTCATGTGAAGTGTCTCTAACGTCCAAAAAAGCTTGAAGGCGATTCTCATTAGATTAGAGTAGGAAAATCGTCTTTCTGAGCGAGCAGCAATAGTTCCAATACATTCTCCTTCGTAATTGGTAACTGAAAAAATATAGATATTTAATTTTTGTTTTTAAGATAAGACAGCAACAGGGATTTTCTCCAATCACTCACCAAAACAATGTTCTCCGCCAAGCTCTTCAGGAATCGTGAAAAAATCGTAGAGATATGGAAATCCTCGGTGTGCTGTCATTGCTTTGAGGACCAGAAGCTCTCTTTGATAAGATTCAGAAAGTGAAGACATCTTCATAATGAGACCATTCTCTCCGAGAATTGTATCCCTAACAGAAAATGCTCTTCCTTGAGCGCCTGTGCCGCGAAACTCTCCGGTTTCCAAGTACCGATTTTGAAAGCATAGGCCGTTTTGTTGGTGATCTCTGAAAAAGTTTTAGTCTTAAAAATCTGTTATACGTGAATTACTAAACTACAAATATTGTGTTTCACATGTTTCAGAGAAAATAAATTAGTTAATTCATCCAAAAAAGAGCCACAGCGCTTGATATTAGGAAACACCACCCCTTCAAAGGTTTGAAAAACTCAAGAATCACTCGGGAAGATCAGAAACTGCTGGACAAGCTATATCTGTACATAGAGTTTCAAAAAATATTTTTATGACCAACAACTATGGTTGTTATCTTTGAGGAGTGGCTTGCGATTATTGGGAAAACTTTATAATTCAAACGACAACTTACTCGTTCACTATGCTCATTAGGTCCATATTGCCGTGTTAGGTGATTTCAGCTTCTAGAAGCACTTCAAAAGATGTGGAATGTGTGGAAGAAGCGTCTGGTGATCAGCGGTAAGTCGGATAGGAGTACAGAAGCTTGCGGCTAGAGAATAACATTTTTTAGGACTATAGAGAGCGAATATAACGATTAACAGAGAAAATTGAGTTATTGAAACGTAAAAACGAGATAGACAAAAATAAATCTACGCTAATCATATGATACGAGGAAAAAGTAATGATCCGCACTATATCACTGTTATCGATGTGACAAAATACGATAGACTTTGATTTGAAAACTCATTAGGCTTTGAATAATAAGAATCGCATTGTTTCCCAGAAAAAAAATGCGCGAAAAATTGTTTAGCGCGCGCAAAAAAAGAGGGCAAAGCGGAACACAAAAAAAACAACACGTATAGGTTACTCAACACAAACACATAATGAGCGGACCCTCTTCATATCTAATGAGGACACGTAACACTAATTAGCAAAGGAGCGAACTTGCAACTAGTCGACAGGTGTCCTCTCGCCTTCTTTGCGCGCTAACAGTGCGCGGAATGGCCTGCATTAGAAGGGTCCGTGTTTTGAGAGGGCGCATCTATTACAGGGGCTCTTCTAATGAAAGGAGCCTTTCAATCTTTTTAGCCTTTATGATTAAAGAAACTGTTCTTTTTTAGTTTACTAATAATAATGAAAGAAAAAAACAATAAACACGTTCATTACATTAATTAGACAGCAATATTGACGCAAGTACAAGAAATTTCAGTATCTAATTTTTGTGGTTTGAATGCTTATGACAGCCGCTGCTTCCTAATCCATGAATGGGATACCTCAGGATCGAATCGAAGACGATGGTTAGGGACTGGTTTTCATATGAGGCGATAAAAACTGAAAATTTCAAATCTTTCAGGCATTTTTCTTTTGATTCTGCTACAAATGGGTTTTCCAAAAACACTTACCGAAAAGCAATCCTGGCAACCGTTCTCCAATAATTAATCGTGAGCGTGTCCGTACTTCACCAGAATAAAAAATACCAAAAACTGAAAAACAGATTCTGACCTGTTAGAAAATTCAAAAAATGAATTCCCAAAAACTTGAAACCAGTGGTTTAAATAAAGATAATTATGCAAAGTATGTACCCTTATCTTGCAATTCAGGACCTTTTCTGATTGTGTTCTGTTTCATCATATCTTTTTCAGAGGGGATAATGTGTTCCGATACATTAGGCGGTGAGCCCTGCGTCGAGAAAGCGAGAGTACGAGGAGAGGAACATTCGTTGAATCGACAACTATTTATTAAGGAGATTAGGGCTCTGGTTTGGGATCTTCGTTGCATCTGCGGTTGGGGTTGGCGTAGTTCCGATGATCACCAGATGAGGGTTTCATTGCTTGTGGAGAGATAAGAGAGCAACCATTCCGACGATGTTAGACGTTGTGACTGTAGAAGATTTGTCATCGGGTTTCAGCCTGGTCCTCGTGGCATCAGCATTTGGATCCGACGTCACTGAGTCCAGTGTTGGAGATCCTTTGGTAGAACTCTCAGATGTTTCAGATGTCTCATCATACTGGCGATTTTCCTTCTTATTATAGCATCTCCTCAGCGTATCCACGTTTATGCTCCAGACCTCATATGGTGATATATCTGCATATTATCTGCATATTATATGGTGATATATCTGCATAATATCTGCATATTTAGCGCCAAATATGTGGCGCTAAATAGTTGGAGAATTGTTTATGACTATTTGTGTCATTCTAGATGTGTTCTAGTATTGTTGGATTTGAGGTGGTGCAGTACAACCTCTGCTGCCGCGACAGAATCAGTTAGATATACTTTCTCTCTCTCTCTCTCTCTCTCTCTCTCTCTCTCTCTCTCTCTCTTTCTCTCTCTCTTTCTCTTTCTCTTTTCAATATACTGCTCTCTTTCTCCATTGACGATTCGACTGACAGGAAGGGGGGCTCATTTAGCTGTGATCCTCAACTTCCTAGAACTCCATAGTTACCATTCTCCTTCGTTACTCTCATGCTCACCCACTCTCTTAATTTGAGAAATGCATCTCACTAAGCCAAAGGGAAATTTGCGCTCACTCTGCCAATGGATAATTGAACACCATCGAGCATATTACGAGTTCAAAAGATCATTTTGGAAAAGAATTAAACATTATAATAAAATTGATACGTAGAAAGCCGCAAAAATATGATCCGGTTAAGCACCCAACAATCTCCAAGAAAAACAATGAATCAAATTTTTATAGTTTCTTTATAAATCTGTGAAGAAACTCATGAAGTGCTTCGAAATTGCTTTTAACCATACTTGCAAGGGCCCGGGCCCGGTCAGGCTCGGCCAGGCCCGTCTTGACACGGGTTTTCAGAAAAAAAAATTTCTGTACTTTCAAAAACATTTCCGGGGTCAATAGAAAAAATGGTCGATTTTTCCGTCAAGTAAAAATGTTTCCAAGATAAGAGTGCCATAAGAAATATTTTTCCGAGAATCAGTTAGATACACTCTCTTTATGATGTTCTTTACATGGTGCAATATACTTGGAATCAGAACAATTTTATTGATAAACAATTATTTTTAAAACAAAAGAAATATAAGGCATCATGCACACTCCTTGAGCATTATCATGTTGGTGTTTTCTAATTATTCCTCACTATCAAACAAAACAGAGAATTTGTGTGTCTGCAGCAGGTTATAGTTGGTGTTTTTCAACTATTGCCCACTATTAGAATCTAAACAAAGATAAAACTAACAACTATGAAACTTGGACGAGAGCTATTATAAATACATGAGAATATCGTACGCAATCCAGGCAAACAAACAAAAACCAAAAAAAAAATGAATCAAAGTGAGAATTCTGAAACAAATGTTAAATTTTCTAAACAATTCGTCCATGTTTCCCGTGATTTTGAACTTGTGTACGCACAGCTTTCCAAATAAAAAAATCTCGGAGCCGCTAATTTCAAATTGAAACTAAAAATATAACTTCCTAGCAACAAAACAAATGGAGGAGGGGGGGGGGGGGGTGATTTTAAACTTGTGTGGGGGACAGGTTAAAACAAAAGGAAGACGCGCGAATGTTTGATTGCGACAAAAAAAATGAAAATTCCTAATGAAAAAACAAATTCTGGGAAAAAAAGTAAATTAGAAAACTAAGGGGGAAAAATCATCAGAAAAATAGAACCCATTAACAAAGAAGACTGCCAAGCCAGACGGCTGTCAAAATTGCTTGAGTAAATCGCCCGTAGTATTTGAAGTTTGGATAAACACGATGATGTGTAGGTGATGCTGACGAATCGATTATTGCAATACAATGCTGAAAATTATAATCGGTTGAAGAGTTTACAAAATTTGTGAGTTCTTACCTCTTTCTATATACATAAACTGGATTGATGTAGCAGATACTGGAGATGAGGATAAATATGAATTGATAATGATGTTCTGAAAGTTTTCAATAGATTTCATTATTTTGAAATGGTTCAGGAAACTTACATATACATTGAGTCGGCCCGAAGAGAGAATAAGAATGCGTCCGTTTGCTGGGTATAGAAGGCGACTGACGAGAGCGAGGCGGAGCCGGTTGGGATTAATTTACTGTCTGTGCACTCCATAGTTACTCTTATTTCTCGCTTTTCAATAATTTACTCTATTTCTCATTTTTAATCCTATAATGGTCTCGGGTTTCTCTGTCCTGTGTCACATAAGGAAGAAGAGGATCATTAGCTGTCCAAGAAGGGTGGAAAGCAATGAAGTGGTGCGTGTGGTGAAAAAGGTAGAACGATGAGAGCAGGTTTAGTATAGTGAGCAGGTTTGGAGGACGACGCGGTTGGAGGGAAGTGAGGCTCTTTCAACTCTTCTCCTTGAATTCTTAGGACTCTCCAGAGTCAACTTTATCTTGCTTTGTTCATCTATTCGTTTCTCTAATAACAATCTATTTCTAACTTTCGATTTCTCTGATTCTCCTTCGTTACTCTCATACTCACCTACTCTCTTATGTCAGGAAATGAATTTCACTACGCTGAAAGGAAAATTTGCGCTATCTCTGTGCCAAATACCTATGAGAGACCATTGAACAGACTTAGAATTTAAAGGATCATTTTGGAAACGGATTTAAACTTAAAATAAAATTGACAAATGGAAGCCCGCAAGAACATGAAGCGCTTTAAAACCCAACAATCTCCAAGAAAAACTATGAATTAAGTTTTTCTATAGATGTTAGCTTAGTCTCTAAAGAAGATCTGGAAAAACACACAAAGCGTCTCGATCTGACTTGTAACGATATTTTCAATGATTTGCTGAATAGCGGGCTTGAAAAGTTTTAAAGGGAGTGAAAGGACAGTGAAACTCCTATCAAATGAGTTGAATCTCTTTGCTCTGTCTTCGCGCATTTTTTTTGTGTCTAGACGAAACTGGTGTTTTTGATTCGTCTTTAAATTTTATTGGAATTAACAGCAATATGATACAGTAGACACAAAAAAAGGAGACTCAAAAAATCACTTATCGAACTTTAATAATATCGATGAGAGTATAATTCACACTTTGCCGAATCGTAAATTCTAAAGTTTCATTGACTGCGGGGTTTTGATAACGATGAGTGAACATTTTCAGTGGTTCTGCTGGAACATTCTCCTCCAGTACTTCAGGCAACGGTCTGATTGGATTTCCGTTGCTTTCATACATAATCACACACGATTCGAAATTTCTGAATGTGGAAACTGTTTGCAAATGAGAAGATTCCAGATTTGTGAGAAGGTAAAACAATAAAATAACGTCTCGAATTCGTAAAATCTCCTCTGGGTCGATAATACTCATCAGGCCACAATTGAATTGTTTCAAATGTCTGAAGTTCACTAAATCCTCCAAAGTGTATTCCACGATACAGTGAATGTCTACAATCTGCGCTTGTTTGAACTGATCGGTTTCGAAAACTCTCGTGAAGTGTTATTTTCCAATCGGTTCTTCGAATTCCAAATCGGACGACTCGAGGTATCCAGCCTTCATGAATGACAGGAGCTGAACCATTTTGTCGAAATTGTATGCCACAATATGCACACTCTTTGCAAAAAAAACGAGACGGGAAGAAGATCAGCAAGTTCTGGCATTTGAATCTCCAACACAAACCAAAGAAAATGTGTTTAAAGTTTGGGGATTTTGAATAATGGTGGCAGTTACTCCAGACTCTTTTTTACATAGCATCCCTTGTATGTTTTTGTTACTATGTTGTTTATTTGTTGTAAACACTTTGGTTTTGATAGCGTACATCCGTCGTCTTCTTTTTTGCATTCAAATTTTTCCCCGTTCAATTTCCAACTCAGTTCATTGTTGTCTGCTGTAACCCATATGCACTCAAAAACTGTTGGAAACGAATCGATGAAGTTTCTGATGTTGTGGTTCATTGATCGGATGTAACATTTGGAAATAATTAGATTTGTATCTCAGAAATCAAGAAAAACGTTAACTATAAAAGTGAAAGACACCTGAATTCAAAAATCACAAAACTTTTACTTTTCCAATGGGTTCAGATCCTCTGTAATCTTTTGCATCGAATTAACTGGCATTTCCATTATAGTCTTTGGCACTGGATCTTCACTCCGGCCATAGTCAAAGTCCAGATCGTTGCTCTTCAAGAACTCAGGAGCTTCCATGGTTTCTGAAAATTGAAGATGTTAACCAGAAAAGGGGACCTGTATCGAAAAATAAAAGTCAATAACTCCAAGAAGAAAAACACGTGTCAATCGCGAACAGAACGAACAGGATAAGTGCCCCATTAGGAGACAGTGTGTGACCCCACCATTCATCAGATGACGTGGCCACGGGCGAGGCTTCCCTGGAGTCATTCCTTGTGTACCGTCTACTCCTCCATCCTCGTTTAACCCCGTCCCACGGAGACAGCTCGACCCAAGAACTGCCTGAAGTATCCATTGTTGCAAACACACCAGAGATGCGTCGACCACACACGGACCGTCTTCTCTCCCATTATCCCACGTACCCCACAAATGACGTGGCAGATATAGAATGCCCCACAGGGCGTCTCTGTACGTACTTTTTTAAGTCGGGAAGTGAATCAATGCAAAATTTGTGCACATTCTGCCAAAGATCTATCAGACACCATTGAGCACATTTAGAGTTCAAAACAACACGTTGGACACCAATCAAAATTTGCAAAAGAGTTGGTACGTAGAAACCTGCAAAAACTTGAGCCACTTAAGGTCCCAAACAATCGCCAATAATTTCCAACATAAAATCTAAGGAGAGTTTCAATTTTATTTCCTCTGAATCTGCGAAGAACATCTGTGAAGATTCATGAAATGTTTCGAAATCACTTGTAATGATAATTTTGGTTTAATTGCTGAATGTGCGGTAAAAAAGTTTCTAAGGGAATGACAAAACAAAGAAATCGCTACCAAATTAGATATGTCTTTTCTTTTTCTAGGTGGTTTGGCGCATTTTCTGTGCACTGACGTTTTTTTTTTTCAAATATGGTGTTTCCGTTTTTTTTCTCGATGCTTTATTGGAATCAAAAACAACATGATACAGTAAACATTAAAAATCAGAAGAACCCAAAACAAGAAAAAGGCTCTTATTGGACTTTAAGAATGTCGATGCGAATATAAATTCCTCTATCCGAAATCTTGAATTCGAAAGTTTTATTGAATGCGGGGTTCTTATACCGATGTGTGAACAGTTTCAGTGGTTCCAGTCCTTCTGGAACCTCCTCCTTCAGTACTTCAGCAAGCGTTCTGATCTGCCTTCCGTTGCGCGAACACCAAATTCTACAATACTCCAAATTTTTGAATGTGGAAACGGTCTGCAAAGAAAAAAATCCTGATTTGTTAGAAAGTAAAAGAAGCAACTCACGTCTCGAATTTGTAGAATCTCCTCTGGCTCGACAATACTCTTCACGCCACAAATGAACTGCTTCAAGTGTTCAAAGTTCACTAAATCCTCCAAATTGAATCCCACATCATTGCGAATTTCTATAGTCTGCGCTTGTTTGAATTGATCGGTTTCGAAAACTATCGTGAAGTGTTCTCTTTCCATTGGTCCATTGAAATCTATTTTGAACGACTCGAGGTATCCAGCCTTCAACGTAGACAGGAGCTGAACCGCATTGTCGGAATTATAGGCCGCAATATACGCACGCTTTGCATTAAACCCGACGGGTAAAAGACCATCGAGTTCTGGCGTTTGAATCTTCATCTCTAACCAAAGAAGATTTGTTTGAAGCTTGGCGATTTCAAATAATGGTGTCAGGTACTCCAGGCTCTTTTTTATATAGCATTCCTTGTATGTTTTCATCACTCTGTTGTTATATTTTTGAGTAATTGTCTCATCGCTTTTTTTGGTATTCAGACATTTTGGTTTGGTGAACGTACATCCGTCGTCTACTTCTTTGCACTCAAAATCGTTTCCGTTCAATTGCCATCTAAGTAAATCGTCGTTTGCTTCAACACATATACTCTCAAAAACTGTTGGAAACGAATCGGTGAAGTTTTTCATGACGTGGTTCATTGATCGGAGGTAACATCTGGAAACAATAAGAATCTCTTAGCGGTAAAATACTTATTCATGAAGGCGCATATATCAGAAATCAAAACAAAAAGGCGTCAGCTTTAGAAGTTGAAGACAGCTTAATTCAGAAATCACAAAGCTCACTGTTCAAAAGGGTTCAGGTTTTCTGTGATTTTTCGCATCACTTTAACTGGCATATCTATCAATGCCTTCGGTGCTGGATCCATACTCCGATCATAGTCAAAATCCAGCTTTCCCAGACGAAATCGATGATACCAGAATTCGAAATCCGGATATCGCATGGCATCCTTCCCGACAGCTTCACAAAAAGTTTGATAGGAATCGTAGATTGGCTTTTTGAGAGCAACCTCATAGAGAATACAGAACTTCAGGTGATGATCGTTGCTCTTCAAGAATTCAGGAGCTTCCATGTTTTCTGAAAATCTAAAATGTTAACCGGGAAGGGGGGACAACTATCGAGAATAACAATCAATAATTACAAAAGAAAAGAAACAAGACAATAACAGACAGAATGGAGGAATGAGTGCCCAGATAGGTGGCAGTGGCATTCATGAGATGACGTGGCAATGGGCGGGGAGTCTCGGAGGTCATTCATGTGCACTGTCTTCGTCCCCATTCTCCACTAACCATAACTAACGGAGACACCTCGTACCAGGTTGCAACAGGCTGCCTCAAGTGTCCCTTGTTACTTATACACAAGAGATGCGTCGACCACGTACGGACCGTCTTCTCTTCCATTTTCCCATAAGCCGCACAGATTACGTGGCCGATGTTAAATGTCACACGGGGCAGAAGAGAGTTGACAAGTAGAAACCTGCGATAACTTGAGTCGATTGAAACGCCCAACATCAAAAAACTCTGAATGAAACTCTGAATAATGTTTCCATTTTAGTCTTCCTTGATCGGAAAAAAGAACATCTGGAAAACTTTCTGAAGCGTTTCGAAATTACTTGTAACAATATTTTCACTGTATTTCTTCGATTAAAAAAGTTTCGGAAATCATTTATTTATCAAAAATGAATGAGTACTCGCATCCAATGATCGTTATACTAAATAATCCTTAAAAAAATCCGCTACTAAAAAAATCCGCTATCCGGTCTAACTGAACATTCAAATTTCACAAATATCTTCGCACGCGATGCTACATGCAAAATAAAAAAAAATTCTCCGATTCTCTCGCTCATATCACAAATCCGTGCGGAGATGACAAGTATTAAAAAATTTTTGATTCGTTCTCCATTATCGCAAATTCGCGTGGAGACAGGGGACTAAAAAAAGAATCGCTCATTACAGATTGACACAAAAATAAGAAATTCTCAACAAAAATAATAATGGAGGGAAAAGATAAATTAGAAAACTAAGGGGGAGAGATAATCAGAAAAATAAAACCCATTGACAAAGAAGACTGCGAGGCCAGACGGCTGTCAAAATTGCCAAAGTAGACCCGTAGAATATGAAGTTGCGATTAGCAGAATGATGTGTAGATGACGCAGAAGAATCGATTATCGTATTATGCTGAAAATTATAATAGCTCGAAGAGTTTGCAAAGTAATTGACGTCTTACCTTTTTCTATATACATGAACTAAATTAATGTAGCAGATACTGGAGAGCAGATAAATATGAATTGATAATGATGTTCTGAAAGTTTTATTTATATTTTGTGTCTAGAATTGGTTACATATACATTGAGTCGACCCGAAGTGAGAATACGAAAGCGTCCGTATGCTAGGTAGGCATGGAAGGTGACTGACAAGAGCGGGGCTGTGCTGTTGGAAGTAATTCAGTGTCTGGAAACTCAATAGTTTCTCTTATCTCGCGCTCTTTGCTGAACTGCTCTTTTTCTCTTTTTCTATCATCTGATGTTCTCGGGTTTCTCTGTCCTGGGCCTCCTACGTCTTCCGTCGAAAGCTCATATGTAATCGCATAAGAGAGGAGGTTTATCAACTGTCCGAGAAGGGTGGAAAGCGACGAGAAGTGGTGGGATAGAGGAAAAGGAAGGACGGTGAGCAGTGGGCAGGTTCAGTATAGTGAGGAATTATAGGGAAGTAGCCACTTGCTAGGACGATTTGGAACTCGACTGAAGTTAAGGGATGTTCCCTCAACTCTGCTCCTCAAATTCCTATGAATTTTGGAAAAAGCCAGATCAAACAGATTTCAAAACAACATTATGATTGTGTTTAACGTTCTACAGAAATATTTGCGTGAATTCGTTAATTCAGAAAAATATTGGAAGCGAAAATAGCGATTTGGACGATCAAAAACTAATTTTTCGAATATTTAGCATATGAATTTTCGAAAAAGCCAGATCAAACAGATCTTTAAACAACATTATGACTGCGTTAAACGTTTTACAGAAATATTTGCGTGAATTCGTTAATTCAGAAAAATATTGGAAGCGAAAATAGCGATTTGGACGATCAAAAACTAATTTTTCGAATATTTAGCATATGAATTTTCGAAAAAGCCAGATCAAACAGATCTTTAAACAACATTATGACTGCGTTAAACGTTTTACAGAAATATTTGCGTGAATTCGTTAATTCAGAAAAATATTGGAAGCGAAAATAGCGATTTGGACGATCAAAAACTAATTTTTCGAATTTTTTGCATATGAATTTTCGAAAAAGCCAGATCAAACAGATCTTTAAACAACATTATGACTGCGTTAAACGTTTTACAGAAATATTTGCGTGAATTCGTTAATTCAGAAAAATATTGGAAGCGAAAATAGCGATTTGGACGATCAAAAACTAATTTTTCGAATATTTAGCATATGAATTTTCGAAAAAGCCAGATCAAACAGATCTTTAAACAACATTATGACTGCGTTAAACGTTTTACAGAAATATTTGCGTGAATTCGTTAATCAGAAAAATATTGGAAGCGAAAATAGCGATTTGGACGATCAAAAACTAATTTTTCGAATTTTTTGCATATGAATTTTCGAAAAAGCCAGATCAAACAGATCTTTAAACAACATTATGACTGCGTTAAACGTTTTACAGAAATATTTGCGTGAATTCGTTAATTCAGAAAAATATTGGAAGTGAAAATAGCGATTTGGACGATCAAAAACTAATTTTTCGAATTTTTTGCATATGAATTTTCGAAAAAGCCAGATCAAACAGATCTTTAAACAACATTATGACTGCGTTAAACGTTTTACAGAAATATTTGCGTGAATTCGTTAATTCAGAAAAATATTGGAAGTGAAAATAGCGATTTGGACGATCAAAAACTAATTTTTCGAATTTTTTGCATATAATTTTGAAAAAGCCAG